CATGTCAAATGAGCCAACAAAACTCACCTAAAAACTGAATATATTTACTTATTTAAATATTTAAAAAATGGCAATACTAAAAGTAATACAACCGTTTGTAAATTTTAAACAATGTTCTCTTGGTTGTTCATCTTTAGGAGTTATATATTACCACAATATCATTTTTTGGTATTGGTTTAGTTTGTGAAAGTAGGTTTATAAGTCGTTTAATAGTTGCTAACTGAGTTAAAGCTGACTGAGTTAGAAGTTCTGATTAAATCCACATCTGATTGAGTTTATGCTGTTTGATTCTTTTTTCATTTGTTTGGAATTGTGTTTATAATCGTAAGGAAGAATATGCAATCTTTATAATTAAAACCAATTTATAAAATGTCTTTAAAGAGTGGTTTCAATAACTATTTCTGTTGTACAATTAAATGAGCATAACTATTTGCTCATGATAAACTTCTAAAAACGTAAACAATAAATAACCATAGTAGAAAAGAGCCCAACATAGTAGTGATTATAAACTTGCAATCCTTATCTGATCTACCCCATGACAAAGCCCATAATAAGAGAATGTAAAACAACAATCTTGTTCTTTCTTCTACCGTTTCAACATCACTTGCACATTTAGAGAAAGAACATTTTCCACCTTGAAAGTACCTCTTGGAAATCTTCCCCCACAATTGTCAGCTTTTGCTGTGTTCTAGGCTTTAATACCTTTATGAGCAACAAAAACTCCTTTCAACATTTTATTATAATGTTTGTTGCATAATAAAAGAAAGTGATAATCAAAGAAAGTGATTCAATTTACCTGAAAAAGGTGTGTAAAAATATCATAAAATCAATCGATCTTCAAACTAAACAGAACCATAATCAAAATTGATAGAAATAAGCAAGCAACATACTCGAAATTTGAAGGTAAATAAGTAAGAAACAGGTATATAAACAAAATAACCTTGAAGTTTTCTAGGTAAATAAGCAAGAAACAGGTAAAACTTACTTCAAAATGGGAATTGAATCGGACAATCATGAGTAGACACATATGACATAACAAACATCCAAGAACCCAAAGACATAATGAAAATAAAGAAAATGGTGAGATTTTACCTCAGATTATGTGTAATGAGCAACATGGTATTCACGAATATACATTCTATGAACATCAGTGAGTGGAAGAAGAAAAAAGTGCTCATTCAATACCTGATAACATATCAAGTTCCAAAAATCACTAATTGAAGCTCTTTTCAAGTGTTAAAGAATACAAGAATCAAATAGAAGACTCGAGAGTACCTTTATATTGGATTGAGAAACCTTAATTTCGATCGGAAGGAGGCCACAAATACGACCACAATCAGTCGACGATGATAAACTTTAATGCTCTCCCCTCGCACTTTAATCTATATTTCCATACCGGAGCGGAGACGAAGAGAGAATGTACTGGCGGGGGAAGGAGCGATAGTGAATATCGTTCTTGTTGTTTAAGAAGCGAAGGCGTGAATTCTAATTGGGAACAAAGGTGAAGGGCAAATACATGAAAGGTAAAAGAAGGACTGAGTCAGCTTCGTTTTGTTGGAGGACCGAATCAACATACAATTGGGGACCGAGTCCAAGGATGCAAAAGGCAAAACAAACAAGCTGATTGGGGATTGAGGACTGGGTCCTAACTTTGGACCTAGTTAGAAGGCTTATCAAACAGGCCCTTAGTTTGAACTTATGGGTAATCTCGGTTCTAGATCGGTACCAAACCAAAGGGTACCATTGTACTAATGTTTTTCGAGAGCATTTATAGGATTGAAGATCGATTTTAAATATAAGGTATCATATTGTTCTGTTCGAAAAAATTGGGTCAATATGCTCGCCACTAAACGAAAATGAATACATTTTTTTTGGAAATTACAAACGAATTAAGTAGAAACTGCTCTCAATATTTCAACGAGCATCTCGAGTTCGAGCTCCTTTACAGGGCAAACCCAGTCTCCATAGGGATTTCCAGGGAAAAATTCTCCATATGTGGCACCACAAGAGGTAGTTTAAGGGAATCAAACTCCCAATCTCACGCCCCACATGTGTATAAACTCGATGCATCAACCCAGCTAGGCTGGACATCACTTGCGAAAATGACTATGTGGTCCGCATATTTTACTCCGCAACGTATATAGTGCTAATAAAAAGGTTGTAAATGATGAGAAAGCTGACAATGAATTTTGTCACACCCCCGAACCAGACGGCGGAAACGACCGGGGGCTTGCGCATGACTTCATCTTGAAATATCATTACAGTGAATATAATTGAAACATAACATCATCATCATCACACATGTAATATAACAACATTCATTGTTTACATCGAGTATTGTATTTGAATATTAAATGCCTAAATAGTAAGAGTATGATGAAACAAAATATAACACAATATCCATTAGTTTGTTTCGTTCATTCTGCTTCAACGGTTTCCTGAGAATACAAGTTATTTTGAAAACGGTCAACATAAAATGTTGGTGAGTTCATAAGCATGTTTGTGAAAAAGATTTGTATAATTTTGAAACCACCAGAAAATCCTATATTTTCTGCAAACTGTTTAGTATGTTTGTGTTAGATCTTGTATTAATGCATGTATGTTATTGTTTATTTGACTAAAAGGGTTAAGAGAATGTAGAGAGAATGTAAAGAGCATGTAAAGAGAATGTTCCCAGACAACCCGATGTTGTCTGTAAAAGAGACAGCTGCCATACCAACCCCCGAGGTTGAGTACCAGTACAAGAATGTTTCCGAGTAATCCAAGAGAAAAGAGAATGGTCTTCTGTAAACTTCATAACGTTAATTCCTCTAAGTGAGCCGTCATAACCATACTAACTAATGACAATTTCGCCTGTCTTGGCGTTGTTGGACGCCGGTTTTGATTTTGATTATAAGGTTTTCGTCACCCTAGACTGAGTTAGTCTAACTGTAGCGAACAGCTCAGGTGTGGGGTGTCATCCCCGTATAGATCTATACACAAATCCCCGTTCTCCCTCCAAGAGACTCTGGTTATAACTACATGCTACGATCGTACACTTAATAGGTGCCAACCGACAAAACTCACTAGATCCTTAATCGAATTTACGCGAAGAAAGGTATAATCTCATTACAGGCCCAATGAACCATGAAAGTGAACCACTAAGGCATCGCTAAACATGTAAATCATTTAAAGGCCCAAATTGGAATGAAATTATATAACATGGGCCCGAAGTATATATATGAAAGGACGACTAAGGCCCATTTCACATGTAAGGTATTTACAGGCCCAAATAGCACACAAATAGTATCCAAGGTCCGTCGCACATGTTAATGGGTCAATGAGGCCCAATAAACATATAAATAGTATACAGGACCTATCATACATAAAAATGGGCCACTAAGGCCCAATAACCTAGAAAATGATCAAATTAATCCATTTGTTAGTTTATCGTTGGTTTTGGTTCAAGTATTCACTAAAATAGCATAAAAGCCCACTTTTGTAAAAATGACGTTCTTGGCCCAATAAGCCAAAAATTTACAATTAAGGCCCAATTTTTTTTGTAAGAATAACACTTTAGTCTCCATTTTGTTCAAAACTTGTGTTGATGACTAGTTTGTGGTAAAAATAACATTTTAAACCCATTTTGTCAAAAATATCATTTTTGGCTTGATTTTTGTGAAAATACACATTTTTTCTGGTTTTGGGCTTTTCTGACCTAGTTGTTGGAAAATTCGTAGAAAATTCATCGTAAGTCGAAATTTGGATCCATAAATTCTGGAAGTTTGGAAATTTTGTCTACTTTGTTCACAATGTTTCTCATAATTTTTGATGGCCTCAAACTAGTGTGAAATTACTCACCTTCACAGGTTGGTCCGAAATTATTTCAAATATGATAGGCAGTTTTGTAAAATTCGCCAAAAATTGTAGAAAAATCGTATGAAAACGTGAGAGTAGTCATTTTAAAGGTATAAATCCGAACTTTATCCATGTAAAACAGTTTTGAAAAATATTTCCATTAAGAGGGTCAAAACAGTTCGAGATTGGGCTAAAAGTTTCCTGTCAAAAGCTGATTTTTGAGTATAAGTTATAGATGTTTGAGCACAACACTCATTTTGCTATTTTAAGTGTATAATTCCCAGATCTACAAGTTTATATGTAATATATGTGATAAAACATACTTTTCTCAAGGTTCTTATGAAGATCCAAGTGATAAACTTCAAGTTCTTAACATATTTTTAGATTAATGAAGTAATCAACACATAATCAACAAATAATTCATGGAAAACACACATAGTCATGCATATACACATAGATATACACAAAGCAACTTATATTCTCCCCTAAAATCATATGAAAACTGAAAACAAGGGGTATGAACTCACCTTGGGGTTTGGATTTCGGTTTTGATGAAGATAAGAAGAAGGTGGTGTAAGTTATGACTCTAGCTAGCTTCTTGAAGTGATCTTCGAATCTTGATGAGTTCTAGGGAGCATGGTCACGAATTTGAGGTGGTAAGAGGAGTGATTAAGTGTAGAAAGAAAATATATCACTTAGTCTTATGAGATCTTACCACTAGAATGTATCTTGGAGTGATTTTTGGATGAAAAGCTTCCTTGGAATGTTTCTAATTCTCAAAATTTTTGATGAAAGGGAAGAGGTGTTCTTGAATGTGCATTTAGAGAGAGTTTGGTAATGGTTTGTGTGTGTGTTCTTGCCTTCGGCCAAGGATAAGAAAGGAGAAAGAAATAGAAGCTTTTGGTCTTTAGTTAATGGTTAATATTCCACTGATCTAGATATTTGGTGGACATTTTGCATGGATATCCTCCATGCAAAAAGTATGTGGCACCATTAGAATAATCCCATAATTTTTTTTTTTTTTTTTGTAGTTGGGCCGAAGGTGAGAAAGGAAAGGAGAAGGAAAAGAAGATTGGGGCCATTCATGCTTAATTATATTCCTATGAGGCCCAAGAAGGATGTTTCTCGGCCCATTGGGCTCTTAAGGAGGCTCACGACCCAAAATGGTAAAAGAAATGGGTTTAGGGCCCATTAGGGGTAATTAAATCCTTTATGGCTCATCATAGCCCAAAATGTTATAGATTTATGAATTGGGTCCAATTAGAACCTAATTAGGGTTTTAGGCCCAAAGTAGTCAAGTTTAAGATCTATTGGTCCATCAGGCCCAACAAGAGAATCCTAGTCCATAATGAATTTAAACCGGGATTTCTAGGGTTTTCAAACCTTATTTGAACACATGAGATGTATTTGAATGAGCATAGAGCATGATATTCACTTAGATTACAAGCCTTACAATAGAAGATGGTTTCATGAGAATAAAATTTTCTAGCAAAAATGCCAGTTGTGACAAATTTGCATTAAAAATTTAATAATAGTTATCTTTTAGCTAATCATTTTATTTTTATTATTTAATCGGTAACTTTATAATGTTATTTTGTTGGCATGCAAGCATAACAATAATACTTGTACATATTTGTGTGGATGTTGTCTTCCTCATCATTTGACTAATCTCCCATTTCACCCACTCCAGAAAGTTCTCTTATTAACTGAGATAATAAAAAAAAAACCTTACACCAATTGTCATATGCCTTTCAATGTCATCATCTAGTTCATAGTCCAATGATACATCATCAATTGTGATCATATACCCCATCTTCAACATAATACCGAGTATTAGAGTTTTGAGAAGAGAATGTCATTGGCAACTTGTGCAATGTAAGGCAAAAATATGAAAATTAATCATCCACAACCAACAAGTGTACCAAGTAACATGGAAAAAAGATACAAAGAAGCTTCAAGAAGCCCTCAATCATAAGAAAAATAAAGATAAAAAACCAACAATTTTGAACAATACTATTGATTAACATGAAAAAAAGGAAGAAATTTATTTTGACCCGTTTAGGAGTAATTTGAATTTACAAACAATCTTCAAAGGTAATGATTATGGAGAAACCCACTTTTTAGTTACTGTTAGAATTTATAACAGTACGCTGGTGCATTAATTTTTTATATAACTTTTTGTTATTCAATGGGACTCGATGCAAAATATGACATCTGTAGAAAAAGGTGAACCTAAAAAACTTTTATAACATTGACCCTAAATAAAATAATACATGTACATAATTTTTCTTCTTTCAACTAATAAAAAAATTCCCCCTTGTCCAAATAGTCGAACGCATATAGAAGCCTCCAAGAAGACCTTCATTCGCGGCGGCCCCCTGCCTACGATTATTCCACGAATCTGCGTGAAAGTTCTACTTCTTCATTCACCCGTTCTTCCGTAGAAGATCCAGACCAATCTGTTCGTCAATCCCGTAAGTTTATTGAATCCAAAGGATCTGGTTTAATCTTCGGTGATTCTTAATCATTTGTGTTACCGCTCTCTCTGTATATATTTGCTGAAAATTTGAATATAAATCTGGTTTGAATCTTCCGGTATATGTTTATTTGTTTGTTAAGCGTTTTATTTTTTAACCGATGATTTCGTCTTTATACCTTTGTATGATTTGTGGATAACAGCATCTAAAGTTGACGCTAGCGATGTTCGGTGTTTTCCAGCGAAGAGTTGTTAGCGGAAGCTCCTCTGCTTCGGTAAAGGTGGATTTCATTTTCAGGCATCTTTTATATGTTTACTTTGTGTTGTATTTTTATCTATACGTTTTCCTCCATGTTGAAAAGAACAAAATAGAATGTGTCAACTGTGTTGCGTTTTGAGCTCAAATATGATACGACTCGTTGCTTTGTATAACAATGGTATCTGATAACCACACTAAACCCTAGCCAAAGTACTCCGTCTGCGATGAAATAGGGTTATATCATGGTGTTTTTACTCAGTTATTGATTTTAGGTAAACTTTTTAGAAAGGAAACTTATATAATAATATAATATAACTACGTTATACTACTAAATACATATCACAACAGGAGTTTTGCAATAGAAATTGTTCAGAGTTGTCAAACAAAAAGCATCAATTTAAAATATGAATTTGGAGAATACTAGGTTTAGCAACTGAAATTGAAATGGACTGCAGTATTCAGAGGTCGGAAGGAAATGCTATATTATGCACATTAAGAGTAATATAGAAGTATAAAAAATGGACAGGCCATTGATATTATTTTACTGTATTTTGGACAGATCATAGGAAAATCATGGAGAAGGACTTGTCCTGTAGCATCTACAACTGCAACTTGTTTTACTTCAGAAGGAGAGGTATTATTGTCTTATATTCCAAAACTATGTATTTTATTTTTATATAATCTTATTTAATTCTACATTCTGTTTTCTTATGGTTAACTTTTCAACATGTGTATAGGTGTTACTCCATCCAAGAATTATTGGAAATGTTAGGAGTATATGTCATGTTGCCCAACCTGGTAAGTTTCAGCCCATTTATTAGATAGTGTTTTGTTTGATGGAATCAAGGAAGGAATGGAATGGTTCATTCCATTATCCTTGCGATTCCATTCCATCCTACCATTTTGAGAAACACTGATTTTGGAGTGGATTCATTTAGTCATGTATGGATCTAATTTTTTTTACCATACTAATGCTGTTACAGGTGGTCCAGTGAATTTAAGGCCATTAAGGTTAGTTCATAATGCTATCTTTTTCTATGTGTTAATAATATGGATATTTTTGTCCATGATTCATATTCAATAGTATTGGTCTAAGTGACTAGACTTCCTTTTATTCACAGGGAAGTTATGACCAGTCTTCAGCCATCTGTGAGCATGCAAATGCAAACCAGAATGTTCTCCTCAAGTGGTGTGATACTCATATATTTATTTTCTGACATTTCATTTACATGTAAATTCTTAATGTTTAAAAGGTTAATTTTTTTTTAAAGGTGATTTGGTTGATGCTGTTGTCCCTTTTATGGGTGAATCTATAAGTGATGGGACACTAGCAACTTTCTTGAAGAGTATGTCTATTTCCCTCCCTCATTGTATTTCATTAAAATTATTTTTTAAGCTTCTGATTTTTAATTAATGTTCTTGGAACAGAACCTGGTGATAGGGTAGAAATTGATGAACCAATTGCACAAGTTGAAACAGACAAGGTATTTCTTATTCCATTACTTTATTATTTTCATTTCTTTATGATTCCATTTATGAGTTTTGTAATCATCGGTAATGTTTGTGTATGTTACAGGTGACAATTGATGTTGCTAGTCCTGAAGCGGGTATAATCCAAGAGGTAAATTAAAATATTTTTCAATTTTGTTCAAAAAATGGATAATTTTATTGAATTTTAGAAAACTAAAAGATTCTAGCTTTGATTTTGTTAGTTTGTGGCAAAGGAAGGGGATACTGTTGAACCAGGTACAAAAGTTGCCATCATTTCAAAGTCTGCAGAAGGTGCATCACCTCCTCCTCCTCCATCCAAAAAAGAAGAAGCTGTTTCTCAGCCACCAAAGGTTGAGGAGAAGCCAGCGCCAAAAGTCGAAACTGCCCCTATCATTGCAAAGCCTAAGCCTTCTGCTTCACCACCACCACCTTCTAGAACCTCTCCTTCAGAACCCCAACTTCCTCCTAAAGAAAGAGAAAGACGCGTGAGTCACTCACATATTTCATATTAATCCAATTGAATCAACTTTAAAGTGGTTGAAATTGAATATTTGTTTTGATGTTTTTTAAGGTTTTGTTTTGTTTGATTGAGTGGTGTTATGTTTAATGTGCAGGTTCCTATGACTCGTTTAAGAAAGAGAGTTGCTACACGTCTTAAAGATTCTCAAAACACATTTGCTTTATTGACTACATTTAACGAAGTTGACATGTAAGTTTTTACCTTTTTATATTTTTATTCAAAAACCAAGAAGAGTAAATTACACAAATGGTCCCTATGATTTGGGGGAATTTCCACGTTTGGTCCCTAACTTATTTTTTTAGCTCGTAAGGTCCCTACTGTTTGTTTTTGTTGCGCGCTTGGTCCCTTGTCTTACCTAAAAAGACTATTTTGCCCTTGATTTTTTAATTTATTTAAATAAGGTGGGGTAGGTAAGGTAAGGTAAGGTGAGGTGGAAGTGGGGTTGGGGGTGTGTTTATTTAAATAAATTAAAAAAATCAAGGGCAAAATAGTTTTTTTAGGTAAGACAGAGACCGGGCGCGCAACAAAAACAATTAGTAGGACCTTACGAGTTAAAAAAATAAGTTAGGGACCAAACATGCAAATTACCCCAAACCATAGGGACCATTTGTGTAATTTACTCAACCAAGAATATACACGTAAAGAATACTAAGAAAGAGTACAAGTTAGGTAGATAACCATTAAGAAATTAAAAAACCAAACTCAATAACCATTGTTCAACAAAAAAGCGATAAGTTACTTTGTTTTTTTTTAACATACATGTGAATTAGTAAAAAATCATTTCTCATATTTTACTTGATACTTGGTTTTATGCAGGACTAATTTAATGAAACTTCGTTCTGAGTACAAGGATGCATTCTTAGAGAAACATGGAGTGAAATTGGGTCTGATGTCTGGATTTGTGAAGGTATATCCTGAAACACAGGGACCATTTCTGTAATTTTGTGATACAGAGGACAATTTCTGTAAACTCTCTATTAGTCAGGGTCTCAGGGACTATTTCTCTAATTTTATGATGCACGAGGACCATTTCTGCAATTTTCCAATTAAGCAGGGACCTTTTCTGAAAAACATTTGTTAATATAGGGATGAAAACTGTCATTATGCTAAGGGTCTACAATTATATTTAATGTATTAATATTTGATTATTTTCACTCAGGCTGCTGTGAGTGGACTCCAAAATCAGCCAATCATAAATGCAGTTATTGATGGTGATGACATCATCTACAGAGATTACATTGATATCAGCATAGCTGTTGGTACTCCAAAGGTAACAAACAAACAACTTTGAGCTATATTTTTATTGAAAAAAATGCAACACAAAGACAATCTTGTATTTTCTAGAAAGATTGTGAATTTGTTGTTTTTGTAGGGACTTGTTGTGCCAGTAATTCGAAATGCTGAAAAGATGAACTTTGCTGAGATTGAGAAAGAGATTAACAGTCTTGCTAAAAAGGCAACTAGTGGAACAATATCTATTGATGAAATGGCAGGAGGCTCTTTTACCATCTCTAATGGTGGTGTTTATGGAAGCCTTTTGAGTACTCCAATCATCAATCCTCCCCAGGTACCCTTTTGCTTCTTCTTTTAAAAAAAAATACAATTACATATTTAATTGGCTAAGTTACGGATATCATCCCCATGTTTCATTTGTTGCGCATGTGGTCCTTGAAGTAAAATTACTGTATCCTTTGGACCAAAATTGGAAAAATCACTTATACTCAGGGGCCAAATTATAGTCATTTTCATTTTACATGGAACATGGACCAAAATTGTTGAAAAAAACCTCAAATAAGGATCAAAATTGCAAGATAAAACTTTTTGGGACCAAAATAGCAAAAAACCAGCTATGCTCAGGGACCAAAAACGTAATTTTACTCCACTCTTTTTGGTAAATAAGTTGACTGATGAATCATATGTTGTGGCATTACAGTCTGCGATATTGGGTATGCATTCAATTGTGAGCAAACCAATGGTGGTTGGAGGCAACATAGTAGCAAGACCCATGATGTACATCGCCCTCACCTATGACCATAGGCTAATTGATGGAAGAGAGGCTGTGTTTTTCCTAAGGCGAATCAAAGATGTGGTTGAGGATCCAAGGAGGCTGCTTCTTGATATCTAAAAACGCTGATTTTGCTTCTTCATAATCATTCACGCTGGATATATATTCTGGTATACTTAAAACTCTTTTTGACCAGAATAATCGTCTCTCTTTCTTGCTAAATTTTTTCTAGGCTTTTGCTCTGCTTGATTGCAGCTTTAGCCTAGCTTAGCCACGTTTGCATTTGATATGATATGAGTACTACATTTTTTATAAGTCAAACTCCAACACATGGTTTGGTTTGGGTTTACACCAATCTTTACTTGAATAACTTCATCAACAACATTTTTGATGATATATCTTATGTCAATATGGGGAACTTCTTGGTGGGGTGGACGTATTGTATTTTTGGTTTTGGTTTTTTATTTTTAAGTCCTACAAAGGTGAAAGTGTACGATTTATATGGAGAGTGTTTTGATATTTGATCAGAACAAAATTCAAAAACAGAAGCAGATAGAAATACTAAAGTTCAATAGATAAATGAAAAAAACTATTGAACGTCTATAATTCTTAATTTTGTTAATGCTATATTAATGTCTCAATAATTCATATCTGAATGTTAACAAAACAAATAAATTGTTAGAATGTTGGCAAACATTTTTTTCCCATCATATACTTACCTTAAAAATCCGTTTAGGGCGTAGGTCATATTTTGAGGTTGTTTTTCTTTCGGTTCGTTTGGATGTTTATGCTTGTCAACCTTATTGAATACAATAACTAGCTGTTTATACAATTGATTCCAAATTATCTTCTCTCATGGATATTTGCAACATAAAAAATTAATTAACAATTAAAATTTTAAAAAATATTAGTAACGATAAGTAATTATAAAATAAACAACATTATACCTGTTCAATTTATTAAAATTGGATAACAAAGCGAAATATTCTTACAGGCTGTTTAGGAAACCATCTATTGAAACCCTTCTCTAATAGGTATAGAAGACATACACGGATTGCATCATCGTCCGATAACTCATTAAGTGAATGTTTAAACACCGTCATAATATCGTCTAATTTGACAGACATTCCTTAGGATCATAGGAAAGGCACAAGAATGGAAGGCGGCGTCAGATGCAGAAGTAAGAAAATAGTCACCCAATCGGAAGCCGGTGATGAGACAAAATTCTTTCTTTCCGAAAGACAGCTCGTAACCTCTAATCTCAAAAACCATTTCCTTTACTTGGCTTTTGGTCCGTGATAACTTTGTGGAAAAAGACGTAATGTAGAAGCAAAAGATCCCCATCTACATTAGGAATGCCTAACCACCTCCCAAAACATGTATTCCGGAACATAGTCTCGCATTCGGGTCTGTCTCTGAATGTCGCAAAAATTTTCCCGTCGATTTTGGGTTTACAAGAGAGTGTAATGGGTGCATCAAAAACTCTGTCGTGTTGTACAAATGGGTTTAGAAGAGAGTGTAATGGATGCATCAAAAACCCTATCGTGCTGCACAAATAAAAAATGTGTTATCACTTCATTTCGAAATGAAAACTGACCAATACTCCATACTAGTTCTGGAGCAGTTCCGAACCAGTTTCGGACGAGTTCCGGAACAGTTTCTCGCAATTCGGAGGCTTCCAGAATGAAATTTTAAGATCCGAAACAGTACATTTCGATGTAAATTAACAATAACAAAACATCTAAACTACTTTTTAGTTGGTCCTACAACAATGACATCTTTAATTTAAACTCTAGAATGTTTTCAGTTCATTCCTGAGGTGTTCTATGCATTTCAAAACAGTAATTGTAGATGAATAAGCATGTTATATAAACAAACAAACTAGGTTTTTGAAGTGAAGAATGTACCAGTAAAATAACGGGGTCGTAGTGGTCTTCTTCCATGTCGGAGTTGCGTGCCGGAGATCGAAATCAGGATCGAGGTCACGTGTCGGAATCGAATTGGAAAGTCGGAGTAAGATCCGAAATGAAGGCGAGGGTCCTGATTTTTTCAAATTATATTCCGAAATTTGAATTTCAAATTCCCAATCCGAAACACGGACGAATAGTCCGGAATTGGAATTCCGGAGGCACAATATAAAAACTAAAGATGATTTTTATAAAAATGATTAAGAGGCCATATTTATTCAAAATGAGACTTTAAAAGTCTCTTTAATCCCTTCTCTTCTCCCAAAATTTGTTCATAGGCTCTCTCTCTCTCTCTCTCTCTCTCTCTCTCTCTTTTTTTTTCTCTCTCTCTCTCTCTCACTCTTTATACCTTACTCCCATGACCAAAAACCGTACGCCAAAACTTAGTGAGTTCCCTCAAAGTACCAACACATAAGAAGATAACATATACAATAACAACATGTTGGGTCCAGTCAACCATCGGGTTGGAATACCCCAGGCCCAATCAACCATCGGGTTGGAATGCCAATATACTATGGGTCCAGTCAACCATCGGGTTGGAATACCCCAGGCCCAATCAACCTCTGGGTCAATTCATCCTCGGGATGGAATACCCCATGTAGGAATGCCAATATACAATGGGTCCAGTCATCCTCGAGATGCAATACCCTCGGGCCCAATCAACCATCGAGTTGGAATGCCCTCGATGTGACATCCCCATTTTCACGGCCAGAAAAGACCAATTTTGTTTATGCTTTATAAAAATCAGAGTACTTCTTTTAACAAAAATGTTGCGGAATTTGTTCTCAGAAAACATGATAAATAGGTTATCAAAGCGTTTCCGAGGAAATGTATTTTTATTCATTTTCAAAACATTGGGATGTCATTGTCAATACAGAAACATAAGCATAAACAGAACTTACATTATTTACACTAGTGATCTACATCTCTTTTAAATCTCTCAGTGTAAAGTAGCTTCGTATCGACACCTGTGATACAAATAAGCTTGAGTGGGTCAGGTTGGGAAACCTGGTGAGTACATAGGGTTTTCAACCCACAATAATATAATTATTATGTTTAAACAACAAACAATCAACCCCATTTACCCATCCCCATTATCTTCCTTACTCTCAAGGGTCTACCCTAAGAGTCATCTATTCGTTTATTCCGAAGTCCCTTGCTTCCAGGGTTATAAGGCCGGCACTAAGTCCATAGCTGCCAATGCACTAATTCCATAGCTGCAAAAGTTCCTTCATCGGGTACTAAATCCATAGCTACCAGTGTAGGTACTAAGTCCATAGCTACCAACGTTTATCTAACAGGTACTAAGTCCATAGCTACCAGGTACTAAGTCCATAGCTACCAACACCTAACAAGTACTAAGTCCATAGCTACCTATGTTTACCTAATAGGTACTAAGTCCATAGCTACCATTGATTGTCCAATAGGCACTAAGTTTATAGCTGCCAATGTTTACTCACATCATCTTTTATCTCTCATCATTCATCTACCCATGTTATACCCAACATATTTGTAGATATAAAATACATATACAGTTTAAATCATTTAAAACATGTATAAAAATCTTTCACCCAGCATAGACAACAAGTATTCAGACAATATGCATACATAGCACGTAATTTAAATAAAATACTTCATATCTATGTGTAAGATGAAAGGGAATATGCACTCACCTGAAAGGTGGTGACTCGGAACTCGGACAACGCTTCGTTATCTCAAAACAATTTTCCCTTGACAAAACCTAGTATCAATACCACTAGGGTTTAGTCTAACGTTAACCGAGACTAATTAATAGTCTAACTATTATTATTAGTATATAAGAGTTAAACAACACTATATAATTCATAATAATAGCCCAAATAATCATTATAAGGTCCTAATAACATTACTATATTAAAACATAAGCTATACTAAAGATAGGTTAGGCGTAGCGCACTTACAGCGGGTTTTTCTCAAAACCGGGCTTCGTTGGAGCAGCGTTTCTGAGCCGAAAGGCTCTTTTCTCGGGACTCCGGGAGCCTCGGGGCTTCCTTCGGGTGCTAGGGGGTTTACCTAGACTTTAGGGGGGGAGGGGGGGTTTGGGGGCTAGAGAGAGAGTCTAGAGAGAGAAAGAATGGTTTGGAAAGGTGTGAAGAATGAGGGAGAAAGCCTTGGCCCATAATCAGCCACGTCACCCCTTTTGCAGCAGCACTCTGCCGACTTCTAAACCGCGTAGCTTTCGCATACGAGCTCCGTTTTCGACGTTCTTTTTTTCCACGCGTAGGTAAAAACAAGATCTACAACTTTCATTTAGACTCCATCGGCTATTTCTCGACCGATCTTAAATTTAACAGTAGGATGAGATTAGACTGTTAAATGACCACGAAGAATTCGTAACTCCTTCATACAGACTCCGTTTTCGTCTGTCTTTTTACCGTTGAGTTCCTATTAATGAGATCTTAAACTCTCATTTAGGTTGCGTAAGCCAAAAACCGCTCGAACTAAAATTCGAGTTTCGGGTCGTGCACTGCTATGCCAAATCTTAGAAAATTCATAACTTCCTCATACGAAGTCAGATTTGGGCGTTCTCTTTGTGGATGTTATCGGTTTAACATATACTACAACTTTTGTTTAGATCACTAAGGCTAAAAAGTCCTCTATTGTAAATTCACTATTTACGTCTCCCGGTGCCGTGCCGGTTTTGCTGAAAAACTTCGACGTGCCATAACTTCTTCGTTATAACTCGGATTTCGGCGTTCTTTATATGTGAGGAACCCTTGAGACATATTCTACAACTTGGTTAAGATTATTTATTCTAAATAATCTTTTTTCGAAAAGTAGTTTTCGACCCCTATTATCTCTAAATTGACTAGCCCGGATTTACGGGCGTTACACTCGATCTGTTGGCTCACGTACAAAGCAGTAAAGCCTCAACCACCCACCAAATATGTGCACATATAACAGATAAACATATAAAAAGTCAACAGACAATCAAGCAGATCTACAGATCACTAAGCATAACATCATCCTATCTATCATGATACAGATCTAACAGATCACTATAGCATGATAACATACTATCACATAACAAGATATCTAATCCAATGCGCCGCCCTTGGTGCATTCGACCCGTAAATACAGTGAGGGAAAACTCACCTCACAAACTGGACAAAAGCTGATGAGGTCCCGAATTCAAAGGTGAGCTACTCGTGTGAATCCATAACAACCTTGCTGAAGATATCTCCTGGCCCTTGCGGCTGAACAGAGAGCTGGCCCATGTGAAGCTTCCTTGCCATGAATAACCAGATCTCCCCCACTTGGGGTTCAAACTCTCACCAACTGGCGCTCACAGTCAATCATGGCCCCATTGGGACCCAACCAGTCCATCCTGATAATAACCTTCGACCCTCACAAAGGAATCAACACCAAATCAATAAAGTATCTATCGCTGAACAAATTCAAGACACACCCACGATGAACCCTCAAAGCACTCACAGAACGATCCTCAACAATCTCGACCTCTAATGGATAATCCAACATCCCAGGAGCATCACTAAACTTCTTGCTCGGCGCAAGAGATACAAAGGATCGGGTAGCACCCGAATCAAACAACACATGAACAACCATACCATTTACTAAGAAGGTCCCTA